CACAATCTACCTGTGTCTAGAGGGAAAAGAGATTATTTGGATCTAGGTACATTATGTTCCTAACTCTTTAAAGTCAACCTAAAAGGATGCATCCAAACACGTGACAGCAGGCGTTGGGGGATTGATGTGTAGGACATTTTGCATGTTGTGTGGAGTCCTGGATGTGACTGTAGGCTAAATGTCAAAGGGCACGTGGTAAAATAAAGTAAAAATTGTGTGACAGGTAGAATTTATTGGAAAGTGATTGTAAATAGCTTCTTGAACAGGAAGGATTAGGAGGATGACTAAGGCAAGCTTCTGAAATATAACTGAAATTTGCAGATGCTCTTTTTAATTACCTCTTGCTGCTCTTATTGATCTCTTATCTTTTCATTGCTCATTCTAGAAAAAAGGAGGAGGAACTTAGAATTGATACCTTTAACAGCGCGGATGGTTATGACTCACCTGGTGAATCACCTGAGCCACTACCCGCTCAGCGGAGGCCCTGCCATTCTCCACAGTCTCCTTAGTGAGAACCATGACAACTCCTACGTGGACTCCTCCGAGCTGTCCTCAGAAGTCTTCCGGAGTCCCAACCTGCAGCTCTTCGTGTTTAATGACAGTACTCTTATATCTTACCTCCAAATCCCCGCAGAGAAAAGGACAGACACTGAACCAGCAGCAGCCCCCTCGGACGTCAGGGTGATTGTCAGAGATATCTCAGGGAAGTACTCTTGGGACGGCAGAATATTGTATGGACCTTTGGAGGGCTGCCTTCCACAGCAGAGCGCAACAAACACGTTCGTGATCTCGGGCAACCCTGAGCATCACTTCATTTCCCAGAAAGACCTTTCTCAGGTAGAAGAAGGAGAAGACGCTCTAGACCAATTACTGGAGAAGATTGGTAACACCAGTCCGGAATGCCTTTTACATCCTCAGCGAAAGCTGAATGAGCCAGCGCCGCCACCCTTTGGTATGAGCTACGACCAAGAGAATGCGATCACTGAAGCCCTGATGAGGCAGAGCACCCAGGAGAAGGAGTATATACTTAAATGCAGCTCAGACTTGAGTATGAAGGTGGCCCGTCAAGAAGAACCTACCTCAAGCGTCCTTTTATTTCTGTCGGCTGTTGCTAAATGACTTGGGAATGAACTCCTGGGACAGAAGGTAAGAAGAGAGGATTCTGAAAAAGTTTACTCTTACTCTTTTCACTTCTACTCACAAACATGTACACACTTAAGAATGCAAGAATTATATAGCTGGGTGGTAGTCAGAGCATACTTTTGCACTTTTAAGTATACCTGCTTCAGTGATTATTTTAAATAGACATCTGCAGATTGTTTATAAGAATTTAAAAAAAAAAATCATTTGAATCATGCTAATTTGGTTCCTTTCTTTTAGGAATTTGAATGAGAAAATACTGTGTCTGTACTGTGTTACATTTTCCTTCAAATCTTTTTTTTTTTAATATGTTCATAGAAAAAGCTTTCATCTTCTTAAGAAAAATTCAAAATTACTGCGAGAACTGAAAAATCTGGATTCCCGCCAATGGTAGGTAGTGTTGACTGAATACACCATTGAGAAGGTTAGCGTTTCCAAAGAAAGAATAAGTACATCACCAAAACCAAAAATTCATTAAAATTACATGCACTAGCAATACAAAAATTTGTATGAAAAATTGATTGTTTTTTTCTAAAGAGTTCTGTAGCCTGAGCAGACAACCTATTTTCACTGGTTCTGTATACATAGAATTCAAAATTGGTAGCAAATAAAAAGATATAGCAACCGATTTCCTGTTTTCTTCATCTGGGAGGGGAGGAAGAAGTTCCACAGGTTTTTGTGACCTTGGCTCAGCTCACAGAAAGGACTGCTTTCTGCAGGATGGTCCCTGTGTCAAGAGCAGTGTTTTAATGGGTAATCTGCATGTAGCTACTCTACAGTCAGGTAGTGGCGGATTAGAGTTCTGAATATTCTGTTTTATTTTGCATTACTTGACATATAGCTATTTGAAAAATGTCTGCAGCATTGCAGAGTTCTGATTTTCTTGTATCCCAACAATTTTCATACCAAACCCTCTCAGCTTGTTTTCAAAGAAGCCAACTGTCACTGTCAGCTGTGTAAAACTCAACCCAGGATCTGAAAGTCAATGTTTTTTCTTTCTCATATATCATCACCCTCTAATTAAAATTCTGTAGGTCAAATTATGCTCCCCTTAGCACCTGTGCAATCTTACTGTCTTTGGCAAGGTTGCACAGATGTAAGTGATTAACCAGGTAACTGGAACTTTGATCATCAGTTCTTTTGCTGATGCACGGAAGGAACAGACTCGACTCCGCTCTCTGAACTGCAGTGTCTCTGCAGCGTGGTCCTGGGGAAAAAACTGGTGAAAAGATATTTCTGCAACTGAAATTGAGTAATGTGTTTGTGTGCATAGAAGAAATGGACGTGTAGAGCTAAACATGGTCGTCTGCTCATAGTTTCTGAGTGCAGGTGATCTAAGAAATAATTTTGAGCTAAAGCTAATTTAACTTTTGTGTCTTCTTATATCTAATTACAGCCGCGAAACTCACAAGATTGCAGTGTTTTACATTGCAGAAGGACAGGAGGACAAATGTTCAATACTGTCCAATGCAAGGGGAAGCCAGGCGTATGAAGATTTTGTTGCTGGACTGGGCTGGGAGGTAATAGTCATAAATTTAGGCAAGCTAACATACTTGATCTGAAGACCTACAAAAATCAGTGTGAGACGGTTAAAATAGGTAAATGGAAAGCAAACCGCTTATGTCACTGCATATATTTTAATTAATGTACGCTAATATTTATCAGTACTTAAAAGACCACCTTTTCAGCATAATTCTGTATATCTACACACCACTTCTGGATGAACACATCCATCCTGTTTCTGATGGCCAGGTGGTGCCGCAGGGGACATTTCTGCTTTCTGCGTCATTAAGAGCTATAGCATCATTTAACCTTAATTTTAGCGCCATTTAGCTCTCCACATGGTCAGACCACTTACCCAACCACGTGACTGCTCTGAGAAGGACAAAACCATTTGGTTTTAGTTGGCATTGCTGAAATGGTGAGGCAGTAATCTAAATGACATGAACAGTAACGGCTTTTGGAAATACATCATAACTGCGTTTCATGTTGAAGGATTTAAGTGACATAAGGTCTACAGGGAACGGGTAGCATCCTCAGACTGATGCAGTTGAGACAGCAAACAAGCTTTTGGACACAGGCTTGTCTTCAGAGAGGCATTTCTTTTGAATAATCTTCTAGAAAAATTTCTTGTAAGGTTTTTCTTTTTGTGCAATTCTTCAATTTCTTTTGCAGTTTTTCTAACTGTTTATATTTTCTTTGCCCTTTATAATTGTTTCTCACTGTGTACACTTTGAGTGGGCTTGCTAAACTGTGCATAGCCCGAAGAGCAGCTGTGCTTGACAGAATGCTTTTGCTTCCTTGCTGTTCTTTGCTGGAAGGAAGGTAAAATAGCCATATAAGATAATGGCTTAGTTAAGAGATGTTTACTTTTAGTAAATGTCAAATCCAGGAATGGGAAACAGACAGATCTAATGCAAAGCTCACAAACCCATAGGGGAAGACCTCTCTTTCTCTGGGATGGCTACAAAATTCTAGAGTGGTAAATTCACCAAGTCTTGATATATAAATAAATTTTGATTATTCATCGGTCTTTTCAAATTTCTTCTAATTATGACTTTCAATCGATCAGGTTGATCTTTCAACACACGGTGGGTTTATGGGCGGCCTGCAGCGCAATGGCAGCACAGGACAAACGGCACCCTATTATGCTACCTCTACCGTGGAAATAATTTTTCATGTATCTACAAGAATGCCATCAGATTCAGACGATTCACTGACCAAAAAGGTAAATAATTTGCTGTGTATTTCAAAACATTGTGTGTAGTCTTCAAGTGCTTAAACTGAAAGCAGATTGTGCTAACTGGTCCTAGCAGGCCATCTTTGCCGTGACACATGGTGTTCTGCAGCTAGATTATCTGAATTAAATGGCATCTAAATTCTGGATTCTGAAACACAATTAACATCTCCATGGCAGCCTCAAATGCCACCATTAGTAATAATATTAGCAATAATTTCATTTTTCTGTTGTCTGCCTGCCAAAACTGTTGTAGTTTGGTAGAACAAAGCAGCTGAATGCATCATAGTAAAACCTGACAGATGAATCGTCCAGCCTGTAGCAGAAAAGAGGTGAAAGAGAAGTGACAAGCGTAGTACCAAAAGCAGCCAGCTGATAGTTAAAGCCATTATCCAGTTATTCACAATTCTGACAAGCAGGCTCTGCTTCAAAGATTGCCACAACCCAGCCCAAAATTTTGTTAGTATCAGTACTTAATCATTTGTCTTTTCCTAACAAGGAGTGATTTGAGATTATGGTGCCTGCCAACTGCTGCTTAGAGTCAAAGAAGATTTTAGGTGCATACCAAATCTTTGCCTTTTTAATTAGGATTGGCAACTTGTCCTAGATAGGTTGTTAATGTGCATTAATAGTGCTACTAGAGCCATCCAGTCTGCCATGTGATGCTATTGTTCTCTGGAAATTATCTATAAATATGTCACTGGGTGATTGAATTTGTTGTCCAGTTAGTTTCAAAATAACATGTGCGTTTCCTTGAAAAAAAAAAAAAAAGGTGGAATTTCTGATTACCGGTCCTGAAAACTTGCCCAGCATTTAATAGTAAAGCTAGATCCTTGCTGTTTTATTGTGATATCTGTCATTTAAAAAAGTCAACAAAATTACATGTTTCTCTTTATGTATGCAACTCATTATCTTCCTATTAGTGGATTTGCACAGCTATGGAAGAAAATGGGATCTGAGAAGTAGGGCTGTGGTAGATATTAACAGTCTCTATCACTTTACCAAGGTAGGACTATCTCTATTTTTGTTGTTCCTGGCCAGTATTTATCTAGCTGTTAGTTAAAAACTCCAGTGGTGAATGCTTTACAGTTTCCCTAGGCAACGTGTTCCTATGCTTCACTTTTTGTACCATGAGAAAATTTCTTGTAGCATCTACTTTGCTTCAGTGTAAGCCTGTTTATTCCTAGCCTGTTCCACATGGAAACAGAGAAGAGATCATTTTGCAGCAGGCCTATTCATGTTTGAGAACTGGTACCATGGCTTTCCCAGACTTATTTTTCCTACACAAATGGTGGTCGCTCAGTCTAATGTTCCTTTGTAAATCATAGCTCCTGGATTTTATGGAGGTGTAGCGAAAGTGGTGAAATATCATCTAGCTGTTGAGCAGTACGTCACCTGGGAGAGGAGAGAGCACAGTCTGACAGAGCTACCGCAAGGGGAAAATGGATTTTAATTGCAAACAGTCTATTTTACTAATTCTCCTAATTCCCTCCCACGTTAGGGCTTAACACAGACATTGAGAGGGTCTGGTATTCTACTTAATTGTCTTCCCAATGTTTGCTTTAAGAGACTTTCTTCTTTGTGAGAAAAAAAAAATCGTAAGCATTTAGTAGTTGCCAGCCTTCAAGTCCTGAAGTGCTTGGAAATAAGGCCAGCTCCAGTACATATTATCCACAGAAAATACCGCAAAGTAATTGCTTTAAGACTTTAAAAACACCTTAAATCTGCTATAGGAATGGAACCCTGCAGGGCTCAAACTGTGTGTTCCTGTAAAGAAGGACAAAGCTCTGAGCAACCTAATGGACCTCTGGAGCTGGCCCCGCTGCAAGCGCTGGGCTGGACCAGATGACTTCAGGAGGTCGTTTTTATGTGTCATCTTCCATGCGTCTGCACAGAACGGTTTTGTTTAATTTGTCACAGCTCTTTTTGTAAGCAAGCATGTATTTCTGTGCAAATTAGCATAGACTTCTTCACAAATTTTACAGAACTGAGCTAACAGTGGAGGCAAGATGCATTTCAGAAGCACTGTAACATTTCTGGAAGATTGTTACTTTTATAATTCTTTGAAAATGCTGATGGGTGAACTAGCCTGCATTTAGTGTTTTGAGCATGAGTGTATATCCAAACCATTTCTAAAGACAGTATTAAACACCCTGCAAGAACTCTTACAACCCTAAAATGGTCAATTTCTTGAAAGTTCACTAGTGAACCTTAGCTGTGGAGGCCATGCACTGAAATACATAAAGGCAAGCACATGGATGCTTGAGCAACCAAATGCCTCAGTCCCATGGTGATTTTGGCAGCCTTTGTACAGACCACAAGTGGTGTGTGTGCTTGAAAAAAACCACGTGCCTGCCTGCAACATACTCTTCAGCAAGGGGAAAATGTATTATTTATTTCCCCCACCTGTCGATGCTGCGCTTGTGCATTCTGCCACACCTGATTGCCAGAGTCATGAGCAAATGCAGCGTTGCTTCTGAGAGCGTGGCAAACTCTCAAGGTCATCACAAGTATTTTAATCCTTCCACTTGCTTGTTAAGCAGTTAGCGTGTGCCGGGCTGAAGTGCTCACCTCAGATTATTGGGGTGTCCAGGTAAAGAGTATATTTATTACTACTTACTGTTAATGCTCCTTTTTCATGGCAGTGTGTGAGAGCAAGGCAGATCACAGAAAGAGATTGGAAGGGACCTCGAAAGATCATCTAGTCCAATCCCCCTGCCGGAGCAGGAACAGATGATGATGTTGTTGTTCAGTACCTGCTCCATGTTAGCGTTATCGTTGCTGCGATAGTACTATATACGGTGTTAGAGAACAGCATTACTGGGAGGAGGAGAAAAATTTGTCATGTTGCCAATCAGGAGGTAATGAGGGCCACAACTTTTTTCTTGCCTTCTCCCTGCTTACATCAGGTAGCACTGCATGGATACTATCTGGGATCTAAGGTCCCCCTTATCTCTGAAATCTTTGTCATTTCTGTGGTTTCTTCTGTGCTTATTATGTCTACAGACAGGCAGAAAGAATTCAGTACCAATCAGTGTGCTCGGCGTGCAAGCTCCAGAGCTGAACAGAAGGTCTTACCACCTGCTGGCCATGGAAGTAGTGCAGCAGGCCATAAATTCTGTGGGCTGGGGAATTAAGCAGATGCAGTAATTTTACTTAAATATGTTATTATGGTTCTTTATTTTTCCTGAACACAAGTGGATAAATTCATTTCTGGTATAAATTCACAAGAATAAGTGCACTTCCACCGAGGATGAACTTGGCCCCATATTTTTGTGCAGTACACTTGTAATTTGCAGTTTGTACTCCTTGATTTGAAATATATGCTGACATGTTATATTGCTCATTCTGCAGGGGGAGGGGAGGGGAGAAGAAAACTCTCCAAATAAGTCTTAGCCCTGAAAGAAATATTTTCTACTGGAATAATAAAAATTCAGCTGATATCTTTTGCTGCTGTAGGGCTCAGCATCATTGGTTCTAAACTTTTTTTATCTGGCTGTCTTATGGCAAGAATGAAAATCAATCACAGTAACAGCATCCTACCATCCCCTGTCTTGTTCTAGCTAAATTGTACCTAACAGTTTAAAAATGAGCTGCAAAATTTTTAAGTGATTTATTCTGTCTTCTCCATTGTCATAGCAGAACTTTTTCAATTCAGAAATCTGGTTGCAACCCCATACTGAACTCTTGCTCCTTCACTGCAGAAATTTGTTAGCTAGAGCTAGATTAGATTTTTAGCAGCTAATCTAACTGCTGTAGGGGTTTGCAAAGTGGGGACAGAGCTGTGCTATTGGATTTGTCCAATTCATTTGACTCCAGGACTATAATTGCACTTATGTCTTACAAGGCTTTCATAGCCTAGGGCTGGCGAGCAGCAGAAAAACAAATTGGCAGTGATACAGTAAGAGTGAAAGGGAATGAAAGGCACACATTATCAGTCTCCAGGCAGCGCTGTTCTGGCAGGAAGTTTCTCGGTTAATTTACAAATAAAACTTAGATTTTAGGATGGGTACACTGTCAGGCAGACAATGGGGATGTCAGGCCCGACTGTTACTTAGGGAAAGTAGCAGCCATGCCTCCCCAAAAGCAGAAATTCTTCAGTCAAACAGACGACTCCTCTCTGGAGCCAGCTGGCTGTGTAATGCAATTAGCCGGGAAAGGAGGTCAGGCCATTAGGTGTGTACCGTGACCAGTGTCAGCCGCGGCGTGTTGCCTGGCAGGCAGTGCGCAGCCCAGCCCGAGCGGGGAGCCTTGAAAACTATTTGCTCGGCGAGCACCCGGCGCAGAGGCTGGCTGTGTGGCTGCTGGAGCTGCTGCTGCGCTCTGACGCCCAGATCAGGGCCGGGGAAACGCAGACCCGAGATGATTAACGACGGCATGACGCGCGTCAGAAGCTATACATTGACCCAGCTTCCAGGCGCTGAGTGCTCGGCGTAGCCGAGACAGCAAGCAGTGGCTGTGTTAGCGTGTGTGCAGCTGAAGATGTGTATATTTTGTTTCTGTTAGCGAAACTGCTTTTATGTGCAGGCTAAACATTCATGCACTGTCAGCTCACTCGGGGAGGAGAAGCCATTGCAGTGTGAAAAGCTGCCTTCCCTTAACGTCTGTACAGAGATCGTTCAAGTCAGCAGTATACTTAAAAAACCTGACTCCTTGTGGTTGAGCTGGTCTGTTGTTTGTTTTTGCTTTTTAATATGTATCTTAATTTCCCAGCTGCTTTGGGATTTTTTTAATGTAGAGTTATTTTTCTTCCCCCCCCCAAACTGCCTGGAGAACACAGCATGGGGCTCTGGCTCTAAATGCATCGTCCATGGTACTTTAGACCTTTCAGCAAAACTTGCTTATGTCCTTCAGGGTCCTGAGCCTGCCCCGCAGCTTGTATTTTGAATGAGCAGTAGAGGAAAATAGCAGCTGGTTTGTTGTCACCGATAAGATCATTATAATGTGTTTTATCAATGAAATTACCTTTCAAGAACAAATAATTTTTTATTAATACCAATTTTATATTTGTAACGTTATACCTTAGCAATGTGATGATTAAGGATGGATGACTTCAAAACAATGACAGGTAGTAACTCAGCCTTTAAAATGAGTTACTAGCGTGCGGTAAGGATTGTAGCAAAGGTAGTAATTTGTTATCACACGATGTTTGCAGGATTTTGAGCTCATACCCATCACTTCCTGTCTCAAACAAGCACAGCAAGCCTCGGTTGATCTAACTTCTTCCTGTTTGCTGAATTTTGTTCTCTTGGATGTGATATAAGTACAAGGCATTTTGGGATTCTTAAATATGAATATATATAAATATGATTATTATCAGAACAGTTCCTTGTGATTCAAAACGGGTCTCTCAAGCAGTATGTGGACATATTTTTATTACTGTTTTTATGGCAGTATGTGCTATTTATCACTCCAAAAACAATAGGAGGCAAGACAGTACACAGCCTTTCCTTGGTGGTTTGTTTTTGTAGAAAGAAAAGCCGTGTTCAGTTTGTGAATTGCCCTGTGCAACTGGGCAATTGCATCACCTTACAGAATTCCGTTTCCATATTTATTTGTTGGGCTTTTTAAAGCAGAGGTTGCTAAGTACTGCCGTTGCAGGCTTTCTCTGTGTTGCGAGGCTAGTGCCAGAACTCGCTCTAGTATCAGGAGGCGTTGGGTTCAGCCTGATAAATTGCGGGCAGTGCTTACAAATACATTGCCGTTGGGCTGCTCTGAATACAGCTGCTGTGAGCCGGGTCCTTCCTTCACTCAGCTTTCACAGAAAATGACAGCTCAGCTTCGGCTGTGTGTGGAGTAGCCGTGCCAAACACTTAGATCCTCAGTATGTGTAACCTCTTGCGCACAGTCTTGTAGCCAGGCAGATTCTTGTGTTTTTAAGACTAAACTTTACATCTTGCTTTTAATCGCTTTTGAGGTGACCTAGCTGCAGCTGTTCACAGAAAGTGAAATCAGGGCTGTGGCGTCCGTGTGAATTACTGTCTCGTGGTGTCTGTATCAGCCTGCACTGGGGTATTATCAACAGAAGTATTTCACTGGATATTGCTTTATTTGTACTGCCCAATTAAGAAAATAGAAGAGAATGTGCAGAAATCAGGATGACCATGAGAACAGTGATTTGTGCTGGTTTCTGCACATGTAAGAAGCTCGAGCAGTAGTATTGTTAATGTTTCCATGTTTTCATAAGACACAAATGGATTGTATTTTCTTCAAACAGAACCAAAAATGTCTTTTATTTGTAGGCGTAAATGAAATGCAACACTTAGTTTATTTTAAGTGAAACAGAAGACAGAGAATCTAAGTCACTCTGTGAACTTAGCTTTATTTTACTCTGCTAGAGTACAAGCTGTAAGCAAAGTTCGTAATTTTAACTTTTTGATTCTCATAATGTATTGTGTTTTTTGCCATGTTCCTCTTACAACAAGAGTACAGTTTGCCACCCGCTATGTAGGAGTGAAAGTCTTTACTTCTAAAGGCTGAGGGAAAATTCAGTGGTACAAAACGGGCTGATACAAGGCATGTTGAGATCACGTAGTTCTTACTTACCAGTGAAAATCGCTACCTTTTTTATTTTGTATTTTTTTTCCCCCCTACACAGAGACAGTGAAGAAGGCAGAGCTACCTTTTGGCTGCTTTGTTAGGTCTATTGTGCACATTGTTCCAGGGGCTAGCACCAAATTGGGGGAAGGGGGGGTCTTTTAAGCTTTAAGTGGGACTTAAATTCTCATTATGCTTTGGGGTGGCATTTTGCATGTGGATTAAATTTTAACTTTAAAGCTTACAGTTGAAACTATTGTGCGTAGCTTGCACATGATTGCCAAATACTTTTTGCCATCTGTTCGATCACCTCCCGTTCCTCCAATAACAAAGCAAACACACAGGCTTTCAGATGCATTTTGTTATGCCACATTTAAATTTTATCCACATTTTATGTAACTGCTCCAAATAAAAAGGGAACTCCCACAGTATTTGCCACTCTTCTCTAATTCACATTGCCCAGATATTTTGCTTACGTTTTCAAGCAAAAGTCCTCTCCAGACAAAATCAGCAAGGAGATAGTTGTAATACAAAAAATTCAGTAGTAGTGGTTCATGATGGAAGGTTTCTTGACATCCTGAGTGAAGGCATTTCATATTTCTGTGACAGCTACCTTATTTTAGCTGGAATATGATATTCTGTCAGTTGATGTTTTGTTCTAGTATCTCAGATTTCCATCTTGAATTATTGTAGGTGATGTACATTTACATATTGTGCTAATGGCTAGTTTGATAATTACTTAATTAAGCCATCAGACCACAATGTGTTCTGAATGAAGCAAATTATTTAGCCGATCTTGTCATGAGCAACTGGAGAAAAACAATATTTTAACTTTTTCTGTAATGAAATATTTCTACTATTGAGCATTGTAATTCAATTTGGGAGCCATGACCCCTCATAAACTGTTGTTATCACTCTGATTAATAAAGAGCCAATTTGCCGTTGCAGCTTCGTCACTTGGGAAATGATGAGGTTCACATCGTCTGGTCTGAACACACCAGGAACTACCGCAGAGGCATTATACCAACAGATTTTGGAGATGTTTTAATTGTTATTTATCCAATGAAGAATCACATGTTTTTCATAGAGATAATGAAGAAACCGGAGGTATGTTTTGACTGTTTTATTGGATCTGTCATATGTGTTATGCAAGCGACCAACAGTTTTGTTGCTTAAATAAAGCTCAGTGGTTTAGAATTTGGGGGTTTTTTTCCAGCAGCTACGAAATATAGTCTGTCCGTCTCAGTTTAACAGTATGAGCATTGAGCTTTTATTTTAAAACCAGAATTATTAACAACAATTGAAATGGCTGCTAATTAATTTTTATCTTTATCCTTAGCGCTTAAAGAAACATTTTAGAATTCTCAACCCATAGGAGTTACTGTACAAAGAACAATGTTTAAAATCATTGTGAATTTCCAGTGTGAGGCAATAAAAGCAAAATAATGAAGATTTAAGTTCTTCATTTGCTATGAATTCACCGCATATGGCTTGATTACTGTTGTACATGTGGTACTGTGTGTAACCTCACATCGTTTGGAGACCGTCATCGTAATCTGACTCAATGGGGTGATGTAGGCATTGGATATCCTTACATCAAGTAAAGTATTTGAGGTTTAGTATTTTCTGTTTAAGTCGTTCTTATGCAACCACATTCCAGACATTTTGTTGGAAATAATGGATTTTTTTCTTTGCAAAATGTCAGGGATGTGTGTATGTACATCTGTGCATATGTATAGAAAAGCTACTTTAATGGATGCAAAAATGTATATAAAATATACTTTGTGAAAGTAATCAGTGTGATAAATACCATTTCCCTTCTATAAGGGGCAATATTTGTCCAAGATAATAACTAGCTGTGGAAAAATGCAGACATCAGATGACGTATTTACCAGCTATATACAATTTTTTTGGGTTGTCAATGACAGAGCTGTTCTATGTTAACAACCAGTGGTTTGCCAGTAGACAGTTCAAACTTTAAAATGTTTTGTAAATTTAAATAGTGGGGTTTTTTCCTGCACTCTCTTTTGAGCTCTGCAATTTACTTCTCGGGAATTTAAGCTTTTAATGTTCCATCAGGAAAACCAGAATTTAGCGTTATGAACATGCTTGAAAATTCTGTGAACCAACTGAGAAAAGCTATGTCATCTTACATATTAGTCAAAAATACCCAACGGGCAGAAAGAATGATGTCTAACTGGAAATTTAGTGTTATCCCTACATTTAAAGTACAAACCATTACAATGTAATAAAATTAATCCAGACATTTCCAGGGCAAGTGTGGCTGACCTTTTGTTCACCAGCTACTGACCCCAGGGTGAATGAAAGAGGCTTGCAGAGAGAAATGTCTGTTGTTTGGCTTCAGTCCCTGGTATTTAAATTGCATTCCCTAATCAAATGAAAAGGCTGTCCTCTCTATCAGGTTACAGAATCCATGGCAACATTTGGCCTTTTATATACATAATGTTAGCCTTTTTGTTTGCATCTAAGTAGAGACACCTGGAGCAATGTTAACATTAACCGATTTAGCATTAATAGCTTCATTATATAAGAATTTCTGATCAGATAGCTGTTACTTTTGTTATATTGCTTCAGCTTGTATTGTTTTCATTTTTTATCTCCCTGCTTGGCAACCAGGCAATGATTTGCAAATTTTTTTTGTCTTGATTAATTAAGCAATATAATTATCAGGAACCATGATGCAGTCTTTGCTCCACAAAGCTTCTGCGAGAAGACAATAGTAAGTCTGTTAGTGTGAATGCATTCCACGCGTCACAGATGCATGAGGATATTCTGAACAATGAGACGAAAAGCTGCCTGCAAAAGAGGACAAAGAATGCCAGGCAGACTCTACACACTGCACATACCGCCAGGGACATACTGCGGGTTCCCTGGGACACAGATGCCTCGTTAGATTGCAGCTAGTCATCAGAGATTAATTCTCAGCCATTTGGTACAATAATTTACCCATTCCCCACTCTTTTAACTAGTGCTGCTTGCTGTAGAGGGGAAGTCTTTGTGCTCGAAAGGTTTATTTAACCTTGCCTACTTTTACTGCCTGCAACAGAAATAATTATTTTTTTCTTGGAAATTGTAATGAAACAGATGTTTGCAATGGGCTGAATATTAATTTTTGTTTCATGGGTAACTTGCACTGATGTTTGGAGTGCTCAAGGAAGGGGATATTTCCCTTTTTTTTTTTTTTTAAATTGATTCCTGTCAAAGCGTAATACATTTTTTGTAATGATTCAAACACTGTTTTCTTTGAATGGGTATTTAATAGAAACTTAGAGAAGAGTACTGAACACAGAGCATGCCCCTGTGCATCCAGCTGGTCTCCCCCCTCAAACTCCTCGTTAAGGCAGAGCCCCCTGTACAGATGGAAGCTGACGATGTGCGAGTTCCATTGACTTTAATGACCCTTGGCGTGGCCGGTGGATCTGCTCGGGAATTAATAATTCCAAGCTTTGTGTCTGTGTGGGCGTATGGTCCGGCTGGGCGCTCCTCGTGTGGCAGCCGGCTCTGCGGACCCCGCGCCTGCTGGGGAGCCGCGAGGCC